ATGCTAACACTACTTAACATTGCTTTGTCGTGTATTGATGTGCTTGACATTATATATATATAGGCTTCTGCTTGATTTTTAATTTCTCTTTATCTGTCTATAAATAATAGAACAAAATCTTAGTACATTAAATCAAGATGTATCATCAATGGGTATTGAATTACCATCGAAAAATATCAAATCAACTATAGCACTTTTGGAACGTTCCAGTATTGAATGGCAAACAAAATTAGCACGTCTTACAGAACAACTTGGTCGAAGTGAAAGTCAATCGAGAAATTATCAAAGAGAATTAACAAAATGCCAAAAACAATTATATCAAGCTGGTTTGTATTTTACTTTATCTACTGTTAAAATTAGTATTTCCGTATTATTTAGGTTTAGCTGAATCATCGATGCGTCAGCGTCGACATAGTGCAGATGATTCAGTTATACTGGGTTTAAATGAATCAAATAAAAAAAATGATGATCTTACAAAAATCGAAAATATCGATGAACTTAAAGAAATAGTTCGTAATCAACGTAAATATCTACAACAATTACAAACACATGTTCGTATTAATACACCAGATCTACTTCAATTACCAACATTAGAAAAATTTAATGAACAAATTCAAGTAATACTTCAACATTTTTTTCTTCGTAAAACAAACAGTGAAAATATTTCGTTTTTAGAATTTAAATCTTGTTATTGATACTTATAAAAATGAATCGAAATTACTTAAAAATGAACTTCAAAAACTCTATACAACTATTGAACATAACAAAATTACGTCGCAACAATATGAAAAACGTTTTAAAGATCAACAAATTTCTTTTGAACAATTAAAAAATCTATTACAAAAATATGAACAAATAATACAAGTTTGATTGAATTTTTTTTTTAAGTCAAAATTTTATTTTTTTTGTTAATATAGAAACATAATCTTCATATACCAATATTTGATGAAAGAAAAGAACATTTAATGAATCCAACTGATGAGTATATTATCGACTTAGATATTGATATTATACAAGGAAATAATAAAAAAAAAAGTAGGTTATTTTTCAAATAATCATTTTTCTCATTTTATGATATTATCATCAATTTTCTAGATAGACAGAAAAAGAGAAAATTAAATAATTATGTATGAGAATCTCATAATAAATACCAAGCACATCTATATTCTTGATTTTCTTGCTCTTTGACATATATATCTATTGCTAATGCTGCTCTATACTTTTGCTAAAAGTAAAATACTAAGCCACACATCTATTCAATTCTTTCCTTAAATTTATTATTATT